CGTGAGGGTGGTAGGGGAGGTGCGTGGGCGGGCCGTAGGCAGGGGGCAGGGCGCCATAGGAGGGGCCCTCGGCCTTCATCATGGACTGCAGGCTCTGGTAGCCCTCTCCGGACATGTAGGAGCCGGTGGTGGACATCCCCGTCATGTAGCTGGAGGGGGGTGGGGGCGGCGGCCGGTGCGGCAGGGGTGGTGGCTGGTGCACAGGGGCCGGGTGGGTCGGAGGGGGGATCTGCACTTTGGGGAGGTCGCTGGCATCCACGGGGCCAGGTGGCTCGGCCTCGCCCAAGGCGGCAGCGAGGGGAGGCTTCCGGTCTGCAGGAGAGAGACGGGTTAGCTTGAGCCTGGGACCTGATGACTAGAGCAGGGAGGCCCCAGACCAGGAGCTGCCCAGCCGGTCTCAGGGTCACCCTGGGGCATCCTGGTCCGTCATTGGCACTGGCAGCCATCTGTTTGGAGGAGCAGGGTGTGGCTGGCACTTGTGGCCTGGCTCGCAGGGCAGCACCCTAAGGCCCCAAGCCCTCAGGTTCCTGCTCCCGACCATCCACCAGTCTCCCCTCTGCCCCAAGCCCGGCACAGCAGTCACAGGCCACCCCAGCCCAGTTCCTCTCCTAGCTCCAACTGCTCAGTTGTGGGCTCGTCTCTCTGGCTGTCTCTGCCCCTAGACTCTACAGCGGGGGCCTGGCCACTTCCCAGCACGGTCAGCAGCACTGGCCTTTAGTGATCCAATGAATAAGGCAGCATTTCAAAGGCCACTGCAAGTCTCTGACATTCCCAATGCATTCATCAGAGCCGGAACCAGTGCACTTCCCCAAGGATGGGCGTGGGCATGGCGTGCAGTGGCAGCACCTGTGTCCCCGTGCCTCTGACCAGGCCACGGGCCCTTCCACAGTGCTTCACAGCCTGTGCCCCTCCACCCCGAAAACGAGTCAGGTGCTCCTGCATGGTTGCACAGCACTCAGGGCGTGGGTCCTTTTCCAGGCCGGCTCAGGGGTGCATATCCTAGGAGCAGAACTGCTGGGTCCAAAGAGCATGAAGCAGCTGAGGTGTAGGGCACGCAAGGGACCTCACACCTGCCAGCTCCCTGCAGGAGCCGGCTACGCTCTGGGCTGGGAAAGTGTGTGCGGTGGCCTGAGCACAGCCACCGCTGTGCGTTGAGACGCTCGGTGTGCGCACCAGGAGCTGCCCTTCCCTCATTGCACCTGCTAAGGTGCCTGGGAACAGGCAGTCCACAAGATCTGCCCCGGCTGCTGGGAAGGGCCACACGCCCTTTGGTTCTAAAAGCTGAAGAGATGAATGAACACACCTGCAGACCCTTGCTGGGCATGGGTCCTATCTACTTGGAAGGCTGAGGCAGGAGGATTACAAGTTCAAGACCAGCCAGAGCAATTTAACAAGACCCTTTCTCCAAACAAAAAGATAAAAGGGCTGGGGATACAGCTCAGCACTCTTTGGATTCAATCCCCAGTACCACCAAAAGAAACAAGTGCTGACCCCTTTTAATTCCTCCCCAGTCACTCATGCCCACACAGCTCCACAAACATGCTCTTCCACCCGTGAGAAGCCAACTCCTTCCACACTCAGCTCTGCAACCCTCCCATCCTGAGTGCCCACCCTGCCATCTGGACTGTGCTGGAACATGAGATCTCCAGCACCACGCACAGCCCTAGCCTGCCCGGCCTCATTGAGCTGGACTGCAGGGAAGCCTGGGCCCCACACCTGTCCCCCTGCCCCCGCACCAGGCCCCTGCATCAGGGGGCTATGCACTATTCCTGAGGACCCTGCTCAGGAGGGCCCAGCCCACGACCCCCAGACCTGCTCTCTGTCCACCCTGGGCTCGCCCACAGCCTGGCTGGCTCCCAGCTCCCCCTGTAGTTGGCCCCAGTGGGAGTTTGCTGAGCTTTGCATTGTTCCCCCAGGGCTGGGGACAGGCCTGTGAGACCCTCACAGAGAGGCTCCCGGGCCTGACGGGGACCAGCCCCTGCTGACTGCCACGCTCCCAAGAGTGCACAGGAGCTGGGGGCCCATCCTTGTGAGGTCACAAGGTCTCACTGAGCAGCTTCAGCATCTCTACAGCAAGGTCACCTTTGCCCCCCACAGGGGCCACGTGCACACCGCAGACCTGCGGGAGCTCAGGAGTCCCCAGAACAGCTCCCAGCCTGCAGGGCCCGCCGCCCCTCCTGCCTGCACTGCCTGCCAAGGCTCCAGCTCTGCTCCGAGACGGGGCACAGGAAGAGAAAGCTGTGTTCTTGAGGCCTTTCTCTTCCTGTTTCCACTACTGTCTGAAGCTGCTCGGCTCAGTGAACACCCGCTGAGAGCTTTGCCCCTTAATTTATTCTCCACGTGGCTCTGAACAACTGCTTACTCTTCAAAATGCCCTAGAAGGCACCCTACCAACAGGATACAGGTGTGAGAGACTCGGGACTCTTGACATCTGCAGCAATCCTGCCTGGCTCTGGAAAAATGTTCATCCACAGGCAGAGTTTCATGTCTCTAAAATTCATTTACCCTGTGCTGCTCAGTATTTCTGGATGTGAGAGGTCAGAGAATATTTGGATATATGTAAGGCTGCACCTACGAAATACCTGGTTTGGGGAACAAACAATCTTTGGACGCTCCCTGTCTTTGCAGCCTGGCCTGGCCCCGGCAGCCGAGAGGCTGCAGCCCCCCGGCCTCAGCACGCTTACCTGGAGGTGGGTGGGCCGGAGGCAACGGTGGGTGACTGGTCTCAATTTTGGGGATTTTAGGTGGCGGTGGTTCTGAAAGAAAAGGTGGGTAAAAAAACCACTCATACCTCTCCATGTACATAAAATATGTCATAAAGAAAAAACAGCAAGAAAAATGTACTGTCAGAGATTTCTTTGGAAGAAAAAGAACAGATATGACCAAAGCTTTCAGGAGTTCGATGAGTGCTTCAGCTAAACTAGGAACTACCCCTTTCCCCCAAAACACAAAGCCTGCTAACCTCTCCAGTCAGCCCGTCCTCCACACCTGCCTAGGCTTCCTCGGTGACCCCTTAGGACAAGTCCTTCACCTCACCAACAAGGCCACCCACCATGTCTCAGAGAACTCAGCGAGAGGCCCGGAACAGCAGCGCCATGTCACCTAGCCCCCTGGGTTTTACACAGCATTCTTCCCCACTGAATTCTTTTTTCTGGGGGGGTGGGGGTTGAGGCAGGGTCTCCCTTTGTAGCCCAGGCTGGCCTCGAACTCTCAGCGATCCTCCTGCCTCAGCCTCCCGAGTGCTGGGATTACAGGCATGTGCCACCACGCTCGGCACCCCTCAGAATTTTTACTCAGACATATCCAAAGCTTATTTCCTGCTTTCCACGGGCAGCATGCAAGAAGCAGCACATTAACTGGTGACAGGAGCAGGGAAGGAGAGGTAGGCCTGGGGGGGGATGGCCGGTGCATAGCACACTGCTGGCCAGCACCGAACAGGACAGAGGAAACTGCCCGCCC